CGGTCTGCGGGGCGGGGGTCCCCGCAGTCCGGTGCGGAGGAGCCGGCTGCCTTCCCGTCGCCAGCGGGGCCGCAAGCTGGAAAGTCTCCAGGTACCAGTCGGGCTGCCTGAATTCAGCATCTTCCTTTCCGCCGAGACGTTCAAAGAAAGGACGGGGCGCGCCGGGATGGAGACGCGCTCGCCTGGTGGGGGGCATCCGTGCACCCCCTCCCCGGGGTTCCGGGCTCTTTGCACTGCCCGGTCGCGGTGACTTAGGTGGGGAAGAGGTCTCCGAAGCGGGGAAGGTGATAAAAAACAAAGGGAGGGGGAAGGGAGCGGGGAGCAGCGGGGGTGAAGGAAGTCAGGGCAGCGGTGGGGTTAGAGAGGCCGGGGGAAAAGAGGGGCAAAAAATGGTCGGGACCCTTCGGGTCACCCCCGCCGGGGCCGGTCCCCCCGCGCCGTCCGTCGGGGCGCTCCAGGCCCTGCCGCCCCAATATGTTTGTCATTAGCGCAGCCCGCGCATCGCCCCGCGCCCCGCGGGAAGGCGCCCGCCGCGGGGCTCCGCGGGCAGAGCATTAAGAAAGCGCGGTAAACACGGCGAGGGGGTAGGGTGAGAGAGAAAAACGAGTTATAAAAAGCAATCAATCAAACAAACAAGCAAAACAAAAACAAAAAAAAAAGAAAAAAAAGAGAGAAAAAGGTGAGAAATTCTCCCTTACCTCCTACCTTCTCCTTTGTAATCCACGTCTCCAGCCCTGCAAATTGTAAAGTATCCAAAATATGTCCACGTCTTTTGTGACTTGCCCTGCTCCACCGCGCTCACTGCCTCCCGCTCGCCCTGCCTCCAACTCCGACTGTAACGGGCTCACAAACCGCGTCCCGTAATTGATTCAATGTTATAGTCCATCCTTCCAAAACTAATCATTTGCTTTAAGTAAATAGCTGTCAGGAAATGAAGCCCCCTCCGGCCCCTTCAGAATAAGAGCGGCGCGGCCCCGCGGCGGCGGCGGGCGGGCCCGCGACGGGCTCTTACGCAGGCAGGGGGGCCAGTGGCAGCCTCCAGATTTCACCAGCCTTGCCGAGGAGGGGGGAGGTTGGCCATATGGCAGGGCCGAGGGGGAGGAAAGGGGGAATCGGGGAGTTTTGCACTGCAGGGGAAAAAAAAAAGAGAAAGAGAAAGAGAAAAAAAAGTTTCGTTGAAAACTCAGAGTGCTCCCTGTTTCATGAATGAGGCTTCCTCCTCCGACCCTCTTGGAAGGAGGCTCGCCGGGGTCGGTGTCCGCGGTTGGGTTTTTGGACGGGGAGTTTGATCTCGAAACGATTTCGCGGCTTCCTCGTGTCCTTTGCACACCGCGGAGCTGGGGCTTGGTAGAGAGAGCGGGATGGACGGCTGGGGGCCCGCCAGCAGCAGGGGCACTGGGAGCGGGGCAAAGACGAAGCCCTGACATTTATGAATGAGAGACACAACGAAAGGTAACCCGCACACGGAGCCAGCCCCACCAAACGCTGCTGCTCCGACGGCGTCGGCGGAGCTCTTCTACTCCTCGTTTCCTTTGGTTTGCTCAGGGCCAGCAAAACCCAGGAACACCCGAGGCCCGCGGGCTCCCGCGGGCTGGAGATGCCCGCGGAGGCGCGGGCTACGCACGTCCGAGCCGCTCCTGTTGGGATACGCGACGCAGGGAGCTTTTGATCCCGCGTATCTTCTCTTTGCTGCCTTTAGCTATTTGCCGGCGATAAGAGGTGGCCGTGGGAGTTCGCAGGGAGCCGCGCTCGCCTTTTTATTTATTTTTTTTTTCTGGCGAGTCCGTGGCCGAAAAGCGGCGGGCGATTCAGC